TGGAGGTGTGAGTTCCTCCTTGTCCCCCCCTATTATCTGAGCTGGATGGATCTAGACTGGCCTCGAGGGAAGGGTCAAGGATGGACTTGGACTCGGATGTTGATGTTGCCATTAGGGTGTGCGTCACGGGCGAGGCCAAGACAGAAGAATGTTCGATGCTGGTAGATGTTACGACATTTGTGTCTGGTTTTTCCTTTTGACACAGAGGGTTCCCGCCATAGTCAGAAATACGATTGCAGATGTAACCGGTTGGTTCTGGGGGTCCCGGGTCGGTGAGCGAAGGATACCCAATGCTAAACAAAACGTTAGCATGTGATGACACAACATCAGATATCCAGGCGAAACGTACTTTTGACAAGAACTAATGAACCAATTGATGTTGGCTACATCATATTATTAGCCAACGGTACTGCCCTGTACGGTGCAACAAGATGGCACAAGAACGACGAGAGTCGGGAGAGCAGAAGGAAAGGGTTAACCGTACGATCAAGGTTGTGGCTCTTGAGGTTGTCCACGCCACACAGCTGAGAATCACAGCAATAGAGATCCCAGAAAGGAGGCAATTCCTCGGTTGTTGTGTTGCCATTGTCTGAGAGATGCTCACACACACTTTCAAGTGTCTTGTTCTCGAGTAACAATCCGTCGATGAACTTGGCTCTGCAAGAGGTAATGCACTTGGGAGGGTTCGGGACGTCGGTAGCGAGGAAGCCCCAGGGCATCCCGCTACATGAGTTCTCAGCCATGAGTGAGGCTGTGGTGAGGATGGCCACGAGAGTGAGCGTAGGCGTGAGGATGATGAGTTGTTGGCAGAACACCTCGGGATTAGAATTAATAGTCTGCTGCAGACCCGATAGACCTAGAAACAAAGTCGCGTGGCTGAAGCGAGAAGTAGAGTGGGAAAGTGAGGCAGGGCGCATGGAGAAATTAGGTAGCCAGCGTTGGTGTAGCGAGCGGAAGGGCCATGGGCGGGTCGTCGGTAGCAAGAGGAAGAGAGAAAACCGAACGGGATGCTGGGGATAGAAGGAAGAAATAAGGTTGAGATCTGCAGGGGCATAAGTAGGTGGGCGGATGGAAGTAACGAACGAAATGGGTGAGCAAAGTGAGTATGGGTGAGAGCATGAAGATGCAGGAGGAGGGTTGGCTGGCGTCGAGACGGAGATGGAGGCCCAGATAGACGGTCAGGTACCTAGCAGATGGGGCAAATGTACCGAAGCTACCAGCCTGGTCATCGATGTACTGCTGTCGGAAGAGCGAAGTACCTTGTCAAGGTGGTGGGCAGGCGGTACCGGCGAGTTGGAAGGGGGGAAGGAAGGAGAGAAGGAAAGAGGAACCACGCAGGACGTGGAGAGGAAGGGCAGAAGCTTACCACGACACCATCTACGAGCCAAGGTTCTCTACAGACTTGGAACTGCACTCGGTCGTATTGTTTTGCGAACAGTCGGTGGCAGCCGTCTGCAGTTGGCGGCCGCATGCCCAGCTGCAAGACAGATGGGGAACATATGTCCGTGTCTGCAGGAGATATGCACCTGGCTAGCTGGACCGTCAGCCACCTGCAATGCACAACATATGGGAATACACCGCAGATCTGTCATGATGCGAGTGCGTGGCCATCGTGAATACGGCCTATTGAGGGCATGGCGGGCAGGGGGACTGTCACACAGCTTCTGCAGCCCCCCTCCTCAGCCGATCACAGACACATCAGCTGCTCTTCGCCTTCTATCGAGACACTTAGAGGCCGTAAACAGCATACCCGGGCCATTTCTACCAACCTACCGACGAGGGCCATGCTTGTGCCCTGGTCGGCGATAGAAGGACCTGCAGACCGTATCCATCAAGGTGAAGCCTGCAAGCACTCGGCCACGCAGGGATACACTCGTCGACATACGATGCACACAATACCCGCAAGGCTGCATATCGTATCATGGCTAGAGGAGACATATGAAGAGTCGAGAGAAATACTTGTTTCTTTGATTTCCCCAGGACTGATCTTCTCGTCCCAACGAGCCTTGATTTGTTCAACCTGGACTGACTTAGCTGCGTCCCAGACGCCACCGGGCCTATTCTCCAGACATCATTGTCTCATAGTAGACGGACCAAAGCTTGGTTCGAAGAAAAGAATCAAGACTGGTTCGAATGCCCGATTGGACCGACCGAGCATGTTTTTTCAGGTGAGGCACATTCGTATTCGAAAGGAAAGGGAAAGCAGAGAGTGGGCTCAGGTTGGACTATGATATCTGGTGTCGCACTGCATGCAAAAGCTCAACAAACAAATTTAAGCAGAATATGCCAACGATTCAGCAAGCCATGTCATTGGTGGTGCAACGATGTTGTGCAATGCTGGATTCGCCAAGAAGATTCGACCTTGCTTCCTCCATCTCGGGAATCTTGATTAGGACGCCCGGGCGAGGAAGTGATTGGATAGCTACGGAGAAGCTGCGCTTTATTACTCCGTCCTTTATACAACATCCAACGTTTGACGTCTTATCCCCCCGCTCCCGAGCCTCCTAAGGTTAACAGCCCTGGACCATGCTACGCCATCATATACCTTCCCGCGAATAGGAAGAGTCTGGTGTTTCTGCTCTTGCTTGAAGGCGGGAAATGGAGAGGGGAGACATCAGCTGTGACAAGGCAGAGGCAAAAAAAAGAGTAAACCAGCTAGACAGTACCCGGCAACCAATGGATGGTTACGCGAACCTGCATGGCGTCGCATGGGGAATACACACTGGAGACTACGGGAGCTGAAAATGACGAAAGTAGGCTGGAGTTTTCACGAGGCCTTGCGCAACCCCAGTGACTTACAATATCTGGGCAGAGCCTGACGATCTCGTACTGCTTGTGTGCTCCTCTGCCACGAGGCGCGTTTCGTCTGAGACGTTCTAATGGGGCCAACAGAACTTGGACACCTAGCTGGCATCGGGAAAATTGCCATCAACGGGAGTGATGAGTCGCCTGGCCCATCAGCAGCTCTTGGATTGATTCCATGGTTTGGGGCTCCAGGGAAACACTCGGCCCATATCCTGTACCCCCCACAAGGTTTGGTTTCACACACCCGCATGTACCAGGGCGGCAAGCGCCCTCTCTGAGTGGCTGCTTGGCTTCGCCAGGGTTGCATGGAGTCGTAGAGAGCGTTGACATGGACGCATAGCCTTCAATATTTGGGATGGATATGCCCGAACTCTATCTGACCACGTGGGAATCATTCGAGTCTCGAGACTGAGGCTCGCCTGCATGAGGCCCAATGGATGCACATTGTTGGGAAGCCCATGACAGCCAGCCCGGTACGAACAAAACTGTATTCGGGGCGGAAGAAGTGGGCTGAGGTCTGCAGTAAGTATTTCTTCTCATTATGCAAGCCATTGCTGACCGCCCGCCTACAGGGAGATCCAAAAGACAGCTGTGGAATAACAAGCCTGCCGGTCGTGATGTATGAGAGCTGGACTGATAGTATTTACTACATGCAGTTGATTATAATAGCAGCAATTAGCTCGGGTGTTCGCGTGTTTCCCCACAATCTATTATAGGTACTAACCTTGAAGGCATTCCAGCATGCTACTACCTGCTATTTACGTACTAACTCGTACGCTATCTGCAGTATCATGCCGGGATGATCGTGACGGAACCTCGGCTCCTCTTTGTTATTTAACTTCTCCACATGATTTCCCCAGACCTTGGACTTGTTCACCTGGATTCACCATTGTGCTGGGGAATTTTGACTGCTACCATCGTTGATTGCATTTTCCAATGCTACCCTCGGCTGCGTAAGAAGAAGCCCCTCATTATCTTACCGTTCCCAATTGCACGGATACGATTACTCTGATGGCGTCGCACAAGGCAAAGGAGCGAGTCCAGGCCATTGGCCAACAATTGGACACATCCTCTTCAGCCTCAGAGACCGGGCTGCCTCCTATCTATAAAGCATCTCCTGGGTCTAGCTCGCTGCGTGTTCGGGGGAAAGTCGTCATTATTACAGGTAATAAACGCCCCGTCACAAATCTGTGCTCTGGATAGCCACGAGCTAGCTTGAGTCAAAGCGCTGATAGACATGGGGATATATAACAGGTGCCAACTCGCTGCTTGGTATTGGCCGTGCCACGGCCCACCAGTACGCTGAGAGCGGTGCTCGCGCCATCTACATCTGTGACTTTCAGGACAATTATCTGCAGGCCCACAAGCGTGAACTGAACACTCTCTTCCCGGCGGTTGACATCCATACACGGCAATTCGATGCCGCCAAAGAAGCCGAGGTCAAGGCTGTTGTAGACGACGCCATTGATCGCTATGGCCGTCTTGACGTGTTCTTTGCCAACGCCGGTGTTGTTGGAAAGCCTATCATGTTCGACCAAATTTCCGAGGACGAGTTCATGTCCGTGCTCAAAACCAACACTCTGAGGTATGTGGTCCGTCTTGGCCATGAGCGCTACGCCACACCTATACGCCTGCATGTTTTGAGTGAACTGAGACAGCTAACCGGAGAGAAATGAACTAGTGTCTTCCTAGCGGCCAAGTATGCAGCGCCCGCCATGCGGAAGACGTCTTCAGAGAAGCCCCAGTCGGGAGGATCGATTATTGGTACGGCCTCTGTCGCCGGGCTTCGGTCTAATGCCGGACCAACTCCTTACTCGGCCTCCAAGGCTGCCGTCATATCTTTGGCCCAGTCCATATCCTACCAACTCGCAGGCACAGGTGTTCGTATGAACGCAATCTGCCCCGGCTTGACCGAGACAGGTATGACGTCGCCCACATACGAGGCAGCCCGTGCTCGAGGAACCACCAAGAAAATCGGGCAGCTGAACCCGCTGAGGAGGGGGGCACACGCCGATGAGATTGCGCGCGTTGCCCTGTTCCTTGGAAGCGACGAGAGCAGCTATGTGAACGGGCAGGCATGGGCTATAGACGGGGGCTTGAGCGCGGGCCACCCGTACGTGCTGGGCAAGCTTGCATGATGGGCGCATGTGAGGGCCAGCGGCTAAATATATTATTGTATTTCGACAAGACGTGTCTCATTGGGTATCAATCTCCATGGCTCCGCTATTCGTCCTGTTGTCGGTGATCCTCTGTAACATCTTGTGCTGCCAAACATTGTAGTCTGCCTTTCTCTCCTCGCTGAGGTAGTCGTACTTTTCCTGGAACATGGTATCCGCCCGTCGGATCTGTATTGGCTTGGCCATGTCGTCCTCGTCCTCAGCAGGCGAGGCGACTACGTCCCATCTCTTGGCCCCAACAAGCTCATCGAGGCCTTTGAACCAGTCACTATCTAGCCAGCCTTGTTCCTCCATTTGGTTGACGGCCGAGTTGAACTCTCTTGGTTTGGTCTCCTCCCACTCCGCCCATGGATCTTGGCCACTGGGAGCATTGACCGTAGTCTCTTCGCGGGCCCGACCCAACAGCTTGAGAATCTCTCTCCGCTGAGCTGAGAATGGCTCCTTAGTCATCGGTTGACCGGTAGATAGGGCTACTAATTTAATGGTGACGTAGAAATAAATGGCACTGAGGATTGGTGCAATGTTCTGGTTGACCCATTCGTCCTTTGTCCGCCTGCCACCCGGAGCTATTATGGCGTCCATTGCCGCCACTATGGTAGGCGCAATGGCTAGCTGCCCTGTCTCTGAGCATATGAATCTGATGACTGGCTTCACCCACACTGGCAAGGCACTACCGGTGAGGGAGTTGGCAGCCCCCGTAGACTTGGATGGTGTGCCGGCATCGCCTTTGGTAGAAGTGCGGAATTTTGCAAGGCTCTGTTCCTTTGTCGGGGTCGCCCGGGAAGGGATTCTGGTTTCGGAAGCTAAATCAGCGCCCTTGGAGTTGGAGGCTCGCGGTCTCCCACGTCGAGGTGTCGAGGAAGGGGCTGGGATGATGTTGTCGAGATGAGTATAGAGACGGTTGTAGATCCGAGGTGGGATCGGGGGGCGGGCCTGGATGGGCGGGAGATCGAGAGTGACCTTGAGCCTGTTGCAGGCGAGGTTTGCGCACGCATATAGCCTGCCTACTTCCTCCTCCGCCTTGAGCGTGCTAGCTTTGAATCGTGATTGCGAGACCAGGGATTCGGCGAGTTCTACTAGAGACGGTGGGAGATCTGATCCGTAGGTGGGCATCAAAGAGAAGAGGGCTTGCTCGATTTGTCGACTCATGTTGGGTGTGCCAATTGCTATTCATTTATTGAGTGGTGATGATATCTTCTCGAAAAACACGTCCAGAGCTTGGGAGACGCGCCGGTCAATTATTGCTGATAAGCCTCGGCAGATAAGCTAGTGCCATGTACACTGTCGCCGTATTTGGGAAAGGAGATACTTTGGCCTCCAGCTAATGATAGGTGGGCCCGGTAGTGATGCAGCTGCAGATCGACTAAAGCCCGTTGGCCGTTGAGCCCCCTGACGTTATCAGCTTGCCATCGAGCGCAAGCTAAGCTACCCCATATTTGGCCTCTCTTCTTCCTTTATCGCTGAAATCTACGGAGAAGCACAACATAACAGACCCGACAAAGTCTTGCTTCCGTTTTATTGAATCTCCTCGCCAGCGTCCAAGCAGTCTCTGGACACCGCCATTATGCGCAGCCAAGCTCTGATCAGCACTGCCTTAATAGGCCTCGCTGTTGCTCATGGCGACGGCACCCGAAACCCCGTGCCCCAAGTCCCCGACAATGCCAATTGGATCACCAAACACATGGCGGAAGAGCATCATATGGCTGGCTGGGACGACAGCGCATTCTTCTCTCTCCACGATTACAACAGTGACGGGCGGTGGCAGGGCGACGAGATCCTGCGCACATACGGCCTGATGGACGACTCCAACAAGCACGTGTCTGCTGAGCGCCGCAAACAGATCCTGGACGACGTCGTGCGTCTCATTGACACCGACGGCGACGGCCAGGTCACTCTGGCAGAGTGGCTCTCATACACGAAGAGCGGCAAGACCCTGCCTGACATGGGCACGGGGCCTGGGCACCACGGCGACGATGAGTACGAGTACGAGATCCATCATTGGGAGAAGTACCATAATGAGGATACGAAAATGGAGGACCTCACACATCCCGAGGATATCGAGCACTTCAAGAAGCACGACGAGATAGAGGACGAGCAGAGGAGGCTCGAGGCCCTGGACAAGCTTTCTGTCGTCGAGTCGAATATCCCCTCCAAATTCCTGCGGCAACGGTGATTGGGACACGGCCCAGGGCTCCTGCTTTCCCCATCTAACGATTAGCCTATTTCCATGGAAAAGGAGGTGAAGGATTTTTTCTTTTTTTTGGTTTTATAATACGATCAAGTTGTACAACTACTAGACCTTGTAACATGAACGTCAAATACACAGTGCCACACCCCCGGGGCAAACGTCTTGACCAGCTCAACGTGGTCTGCCTCTGCGCTCCGAACAGATCCTTCGCTGGCTGCCCATACTTTACAGAGGTCCTCGATCGAGCTCTGCCTGTCTTTGATGTCGTCAACCCCGACGTTCTCGTGAAAGTGAAACCATGTCTCTGAGCTCTGGCCCGTCATGTCCCAGGCTGGCTTCCAAGTTGCCTCACTTGTTGGTAAGAACCCACAGTTGACGTGTCTGATTTCCCCTGCGCTCCCAGAAGCATGGAGGCTGCGTATCCGGCCCAGAGCCTTTTGGTTGTCTTCTAAGAAGACCACTATCTGCTCGCCGCCTCGGATCAGATCTTCTGCCGGCAGCTGCAGCTCGTCGCCTTGGACAACCCTGACCGTCCAGCGGTTTGCCAGTGCGCCTCGCCGTAGCCCCTCCACGCTCCAAGGGTTGATCTCCCAGCAGAGCACTCGCATGCCCAGCGATGCATACGAGAACACAAAGTACCCAATGCCTCCGTACATGTCAGTTGCCCACACGTCATGCCCCCCGCCGCATGCTTGTGCTTCGGCCTGGCCGGCGGGCAGCTTGAACTCCAGCAGCCTGGCCTTCTCCTTCACGTTTCCCCGGCTGAACATGGTCCACCGCGGCGCCCATGTCTGATAGATCCTGTTCTGCTTGGTCGAGACCCACAGCGCCCGTTCGAAATCCTCCTCAGCTGGACCACCGTGGCCGGCGAGCGTGGAGGGGCCAAAGTCTCCGTGCAGCATCCGCAGCCCGCTGGGGCTCCGCAGCACGTTCTCCTCGCCCTGCTCGCCCTCCTTGAGCAGCGGGATCCCCTCGGTTACCGCGAGGTGAGTTAGCTCCGACCCTGCCTTCTTGGACAGTTCATCTAGGATCAGCGGCCACAGCCGGGCGGCGGCGGTCTCGCCCACACGAGCCAGCAGGGCTTTCCACGAGGTGTGGGTGAAACTCCCAGCTGGCAGGAGAGCCATGGGCTCGTAGACGGTGAATCGTTTTGGGGTCTTGCCAATAATCTCCTGCTTCCATCCGTCGTCCGCCTCGTCTCCTGGGGTATTCAAGCCCAGGTCTTCGAGCCATTGGGAGAGGGCAGAGAGGATGGGATTCTGTTGGCGTTGTTTACCCATTCTTAGAATGGGGTCTGCCGGGATAAATCAGAATCCCAAGGACTTCTGAGCATGAGCGTCTGTAGGTAACAGACCAACCTCTCAGAGTTCTGTTTCCTGATGAAAAGTGTGTTTCTCTAGCCGCTAATTTGTTAGAGATCATTGAGGGGCCAGACTTGTACAACCCGATTCCCATGTATACGTGAGTTATAGATATGTGAAATCGGGGATTCTCTCCCAATGCGATGATCACATGCAAAATTCGATTACTTGTGCATGTATGTCTGGCATGATTTCCTTACCAAACCACTTGGATGTAAATGCGCCCCTCAATTGAACTATGCGACTTGTGTGGGGACCGCGGGGTCTGATTTTGTTGACGAAATGGAGGCAGGACGGGGAATAGGACCAAGGCACACGTGGGATCAGTTCGCAAAACAGCGACATAGAGGAAACTTCATGTACTTCAATGCTTCGTCACTCTCAAGTCTAGATCTACCCTCTTCGTGGAGCTCCAGTACATTGACACGGCCCTTCCCGTCATTAACCATATGCGATGCATTACCCAAACAACCCAACCCGAATCGACATTCTCGTCTTTAGACATCATGGGTATCTTCACCCTATACCAGTTAGTAATCTACATGCAAAATAACATTCCCAATACCAAGCCCACATGCAGAATCAGAGGAAATAGTCGCTCGGGCCCCTTCTGTTTGCCGGAAGGTGTCTCTGGTCATCTGGCACTGCAGAAAAGATGCTGAACCTCGGAGTCAAATCCTTGTCCACCGACATAATGGAAGCGACGTTGCCGCAGCGGTAGCAGTAGTTTGGCGCTGACCACACAGTAACGACGGAGCTCTCCGGGAAATGATACTGCCTCGCAGTTAGAAAGTGCTATCCACAAGATAACGCCAAATCATAAGGGGAAATTGCTGCTCACCTTGTAGCCTTCGTTTACAAGCTGATGGGCACGGGCAATGAGCTTCAGGCCGTTGACATGGTTGAATTCGTTAGCAACCTTGTCGCCAAACAGCCAGCCAGCGCCACGGGGACTGATGGCCCAGGTTTCGACCTCGTCTGGATCCGACCAAACAAGATCACAGAATGCACCCTCATGAGGAATCTCTTGCGCTCTTGCTACGACACGGATCTGATCAATCGTCCTGATCTCGGGGCTCAGACCACCGTGAACACATAAAACCTCCCCATCCACGATGGCTGCCAAGACCAGAAAGTCAAACACGTGGCAGCAGGCCTTCCAAACTGATGCGTTGCCGTACTTTTGCTGGCATTCCTCGTAGAATCCGTACACCTGGGTAATCTGACGAGACTCGTGGTTCCCTCGTACCAACACAATCCGATCGGGGTATCTAGATTATCAGTCAGAATTTTTGGTCCCCAAAGGTAGAAATTGCCGCTCCCGTGAGAAGTCATACTTTGCTTTTAGGCACATGAGAAGTGTGAACGTCTCCAAGCTGAAATATCCTCTGTCCACGAAATCACCAAGGAAGATGAATCTCGTTTCCGCGCTTTGAGACACAGGCACCGCGACTCCAGAATCAGCAGACACCGGACGATCGGCGGCAGCGTCAGCGCCCGTGCTGGCCTCTGCCTCGGCGTCCCCCTCATCCGCTTCACCGCCGCTGGGCCCCTCGGAGGATCGCAGCTTCTTCCGGAGCTTTGGGTTCGTGATCTCGGTTGGGGGCTCGATATCTTCGGGTGATATGACGGTTGTGGCAGTCTTGGGAGCGTGGAGGTTGGTCTCGCCAGGCATGCCGCCTGCGACGCGGAAGAGCTCGAGCAGATCGTAGAATTGGCCATGGATGTCACCACAGACGGTGACGGGGGTACAAACAGGCTGGATGTTCGACTCTAGAATGAGAATTCCACGTCAGAGGGCCGGGGTCCATCTCAAGACGCAGACGGATGGCTCCTACCTTCCATTAGGATCTCTTTGACCTTCTCGCATAGCTCTTTCATCACACGCTCCGGCAGGTAATGGCACTGCTTGGCCTCCTCAAGCCACTCATCGAGGCTTGAATTGGGCCCGAGGTTGGCCGGGCCCGGTCGAGGCACGCTGGTAGCCATATTACGGCATACCTCGCTCCAAGGAGAAATATGAAAACGGAGGGAGTGTAGATGCGGTCGGGGTCTCAGAGTGTGGTTATCTGACTTGTATTTGGGGCTGTGGCGGGGGATCTCGCTCCTCGATGGTTCAATTCTTGGGCCGTCATTCAGGTTGCTTCAGTGGGGCAGGGGGCCGCTAGAGCGCCTGAAACGGGTGCTGAAGTGATCCCCTCTGGCTGCTGAGCCCCACCCAGTCTTCTGAAGCTGATTGAGTGCAAGCGCAACCGGCTCGAGTTATTCGCCGTGAGAATGACAGGCCTGATCAAACGGCTGTTTATTAAGCCGCAGACTTCTGGCCTTGAATATTTCTCGTATCATTACTCGACCCTCCCACGAATGTTTCAAGCTTTTCATTTGATTACCATCTCGTCTTTGGTTCTTGGCCCATCACGTGACCACTTCCCGCTAAATAAGTGGGCATACATTGGTGAGCCACATCTCCGTGCCTGAGACTCGAAAGTGGGCGCTCAAGCGCATGGTTGATAACTTACCTAAGCAGCCGTCGCCTTCGCTCACTGTCAGATTCATCAGTGGAGCTTGAGGGCACTTGACGGCGCATTCTAGCCTTGCAAAGCAACACCCCTTCGGCGCGCCTCGCCAGTATCGAGCCAACTGAGATGGCTGCTCAGTCTACCCCCCAGGTGATATCTCGCCGGGGTAATACCAACGGCTCACGGTCATCTCATGATAATCCCAAGGTTAGATAGGTTACACTAAGCCCAGAGGCAGGGAGGGTTTGCGCAACTGACACATCTCAGGGAAGAGGCAATGAGAATGCTGGCAGTAAATCTGGGAGAGACAGGAGCTCTCAAGAAAAATCTGCCGAGAGTACAAAGGTAGAGCGTACCGACTACTCCTCTTTGTATCAAAGCTGGCTAACACTCAGAGTGAGGCCCCAAAACCATCGAAGCCAAAGGCACAGAATGAGGGCGAGAAGCTTGTTATCCGTCGCCTCCCACCTGCCATGACGCAGGATGAGTTTGTCACTATCCTCGGCACTGACTGGGACGTCAACAAGGGAAAAGTGGACTGGCTCTGGTACGCCCCGGGCAAAGTATCCAAAGAGTGTGTCATCATTGTGTTCTCTACTGGAGTTGCTGGTTCCTGCTAACCTCATTATCAAAGCCCTTCGAAGCCCTCTCGCCCAAGCCGTGCATATGTTCATCTGAAGAGAAAAGATGACATCATGAGCCTTAGCGAGTTGGTCCAGTCATCAACTTGGGAAGATGCCAAAGGCACCTTTACCAGCCCGGCGCTGATTGCGCCGCCTACAGTTGAGTTTGCTATCTATAAGAAAACCCCAAGCAACAAACGACGGACAGATGCTCGCCAGGGGACCATTGACCAAGACCCTCAATTTATGGCTTTTCTCGAGAACCTCGCCAACACTGGGCTGGCGAATGAGGGTGTGGAAGTCGAGGACGCCGATGAAGCGGAGAAGGCGGACATCAAAGTCACCACCACACCTCTGATTGAATACCTTAAGGAGAAGAAGGCTTCTAAGGCTAAGGATTCGTCTTCTGGTAAGAACTCTAAGAAGGATAAGGAATCGAGTTCCAGCAAGGGCAAAGGAGGCTCTAAGGACGATGAGTCGTCCAAGAAGAAGGGTAAGGGTGGAAAGGATGACAAGGACAAGGCCCCCAAGGAGACTGTCAAGATTCTCACCAAGAAGGCTGCGACGGAACAAGCTGCTGAGGCCGCGAAGACGGCCGCCAGTCACATCACCGCTGCCGCATCCGCCGACACCCCCAAAAGCCGACGTGCTGGCATTGCTGCTGCAGCTCGCATCTTACAGCGTGACCTTGGCCTAAGTCCTGGAAGCGCCCATAGGCGAGCGCGCCAGGATGCAGCCAAAGCTGACGCTGGATCGACGGAGAGTGTCGGTGCAAAGGGCGCTTCAACAGCAGCAGCGTCGTCGGCCGCCCCCGCGAACCGCGCATCCTCTCCAGCCCCTTCAGTCGAAAGCACAGCACAATCTACAAAGCAAGGCAAATCAGGGCGCAGGACCCGTGGTGGTAAGAATGCAGACAAGGGAAAGGGAACGGAAACTACCGCGACGGAGACCCCTACGGCCCCAACCATTACAAAGACCCCCATCATTCTGAAGAAGAAACCAGAGCCCGAACCGCCCGCTCCTCAGACAGCTCCCGAACCGGCCCCCAAGACACAGCCCACACCGCCGGCCAAGCAGGCACAGTCTGCCCCCAAATCAAAGCCATCCCAAGCGCAGAAGAAGGCACCCGCCGTGAGCGCCAACACCACGCGTGCCTTTATCAAGCATGCAAACGCCTCCCAGGGTGTCACGGAAGCCCTGCTCAAGCAGACACTCGAGACATTCGGCACCATTACCTTCGTGGAGATCGATAAGCGCAAGGGATTCGCCTACGTCGACTTCGCCGATCACGAAGGCCTCGTCAAGGCCATCTCTGCCAGCCCCGTCACCGTTGGCCAGGCCAACGTCCAAGTCCTCGAGCGGAAGGATAAGAAGGCGCCTGCCCCAACCCAGGCCGGGAGCTCGAGCTCGGGCAACCCCAACAACGCCACCAGCAGTACCAGTGCCAGTGCCAGTGCCAGTGCCAGTGCCAATGGGAACGCCGCCCCCGCTGCTCAAGAAAAGCCGGAGAAGAGCTCAGGCCGCGGCAGACGAGGCCGAGGTGGAGGTAGCAAGGCTGCCGCCAGCGGGGACAAGGCCCAGACGCCATCCCAGGCAGCATCTGCTGCCAAAGCTGCCGGCACCAGTCCCAATACGACGAGCGGGGGGTGAAGCTTGTGAGCAGTGTGTTTAGGAAACATTTTGGTCGGGAACACCAATACCTCGGAGATTCACGGATCTTTTCGGCACCCATATCCACATCGAGCCATGGCGGAAGGGTCATGGGGGGGTCAGTCGC